TGCTGTGCTTACCGTGTCTAACATCTCCCGTGTATGTGCAGCTGACACACAAAACCGAGCCCTCGATTCTGTGATAGGAGTAGCTGGAAATCCAACTACAACAACCCCAATATTTTTTTCTAACATGCGTCTTGCAAAAGCCCTAAGGAGAGAAGAAGAAGAAAAAAACAAAAGTAAATTATCTCCAATAAAATGACCACAAAGAGAAAACATTCAAGTATAATAAAACAATGGGTAAAATCCTGTCTGGTCGGTAATATCCCCATGGAATTTAATTAAAGAGAGAATTTTACCAGTAGGACTGATATTCTTTGCTGCTTCACAGCTTGTGAAGTCAAGTGGGTGTCAAATACTAGAATGTGAAGGCAGAGAGAGCACTGTGGAATAGACCCGATTGATTTATGTCAATGAAAGGCTTTGAGTGCAAATCAAAATGTGTGGGCATTCACAGGCCCTAAACACTGAAGAAGTTGGGCTTCTGGAAGGTATGAGAGCTAGGTTCCTGAACATCAACAGGAATTAAACAATCTGTGCGATAGTTTGTTTGCTCTCACGATTACTCTGCCCATTTAGGAACCTTTTGTGTGTTACTAGACCTCGAGCACATAGCCACCGTAAACTATTTGCAAATACTCCCTGGAGCTCAACCCTTACATTTTGCTACTGCTGGCTTCTGGTCTGCACGTCTAAGTCAGTGCACAAGTACTGCTTGATAGGTACTGAATGGTAAAACATGCAAAGACCACTCAAAGATCAGGTGGGCAAAAAGAACACCCATCCAAAACAATTCATACTTTAAAGGCAATATATCTCATTTAATGATTTTAATCAAAAAAAATCCAAATTCAAAATGCTATCAAAAATAACTATTTCAGAGCAAGTTAAGGAAAGAATTTTTTACAGTTCTGAGTGCTGGAACTGGAGCTCTAAATTAAATCTAGGGCCACAGTTAAAATGGAACACAACTAAATGATGAATTCACGTAACAGTGTATACTTCTCCTGTGAATCAACTACAACACATAACTACATTTTTCACAGTGTATACCAAACCTATAGTGTTTTGCCAACAGTTCTTTTTTCAGTACTTACCCTATCTTACCAGGCATATAAAGGAGCAAGGGTACAACAGGAGAATCATCATTGCCATAAATGATGAAGCCCATTTCATGCAGTCTTCGTCTGAAGTATCTTGTGTTTTTCCCCAGCTGGCGCACTCTTTGGAGCCCTGAAATGAGTCAGTCAGGAGAACAGTCAGTGCAAAGATCATAACTGGAGCCTAGTAACAGGCAACAAAAAGGGCTGTGGGTAACAGTTCAAAAAAGTTTGGCTGAAATGTATATGTTGCTATTTGATTTAGTAGAAAAATACAGAATGAGCTAAACGCAACTACGTTGTTATGGCACCGTAGGACAGATGGCTGATATTCCTGTACTTGTGAGGTGCCTTCCCAGAGGCAGAAACAGTAAGTCTTCTGGGGATAGATAAGTGAATTATTCCCTTTACTGTGTCGTGCTGAATAAAGCCTATGGAATGACACACATCTATAGGGAAGTAGCTACATGCCTGTGTGGCTACAGGACATGTAAATAGAGTGTGTTCTTTCTCATCATAATTCACTATAAAGGGAAAGAACCAATGCCTACAGACATTGATGCAGCTGTCAGCACATGTATATCTTTTCTTATTAACAATATTCCACAAGGGTCCTCTTAGCTAGTTCTGTGCATACATGTTTGGGTTTTTTTTTATTTCTGTGACTGTAATAAAGCTTAAAGTAGAAAATACTGCATTTTGGGTTAGCTCAAACTGATACTTTTGCTGCAATTTTTAGACAGAGGAAAAGCACGCAATAAACTTTGTTGTTACAGGTCTGATCTTCTGCAGTTTGTTACCAACATTCAGCATAATTCCAGTTACTCTAATATGCATCTACATATGTAATCCCTTGCTGACTTCTGCTCTGTTTCTCTGTCCTCTTATCTTGCTATTATTACCTCAATATCATAATCTGACTATAGAATTTAGTCATTCAAGACTTTCAGACACAAGTTTTGTTCTCTGCATTCTCCCTGGCCTCATTCAGTCGTGAATCCACTGAAGTGTCCCCCTGACAGGAGAGTTGAAAACAAATATTTTTAATGAAAGAAAAAGACAAGAAACAGCAGAGAAAAAAATGTGCTTGAAAAGTAATCTCAGCCTTTTCTTTTGCAGCGTCATTAAGGAGGTGGTTTCTGACAGGTGCAGTTGCTTCCCCACCTATTGCGTACAAAAGGGAAGAGCCACACCCAATGTTACTATAGGTAGGAGATACAGTATGTCCTTCCCCCGCGCCACCTGTAGTATATTTCATCAGCATGCTGATATACGTGCTGTTCTTCCAATGCTGTAAGGTGCTGACAGGGATGGTGCCACCTACTCCATACCCACCTGCTGCTCTTTCCTGTCTCCTCCCCACTCCCAGGCCTGGGTTCACACAGCCATATGATGAATCAAGCCAGGTCCATCATCTGCCTGACCTCCCCAGAAAGAAAACTGCCAAACCAATGTCAAACAGTGATTATCTAAACTTAATCACTGTGCAGCCACTTGTGCCTGCCCAGCAGAGGCAGTGGGGACACACGTTAAGAGTAGGATTTAGAAGGACAGATCTCAGTTACATTCTTATATTTTCCTGATGTTCATTTGCCTATACTTTCAATACCACATTATGTCACCAGATGTGAACACTGAAGCCTGCAGTACAACTGATTTCCTCTTTTTCCCTTTACTTTTAAGGTACCTTTGCACAGATATATTGTTTTCCCTCTCCTTTTACTTTTCCATTTTATTTTTACTTTTCATTCGCTTCATTCTTCATTTACCACTTTCTGCTATCAGCCTGCTCTGACTGGATGTCTGTTTCCTAATTTCTCATCTTCCTCCTTGTAACCACAGCGGCCAGTTAGGTGTTTGTAGCTGCTACATACCACCTTCAGCAGATTTGTCCTCAGACTGCATTCTACCCTCACCTGCTGTGGCTTTTCTTCCTATTCCCTCTTGGCTAAGGTGGGAATCACCACACCTACATAAACCTCTTTTCCATTAATCATTTCCGAGCGTGCGTAGGTTTGAACAAGATCTAATGCTTCATCTGTTCTGTATCTTCCCTAGTCAAGGTTCTGTCAATGTTCTGGCTGGGAAATTTATAGGGAAAGTGGGACTTGCTTCACAGTGATCAGTGATTTGCTGAACAAATTAAAGGATCTCATAAAACCAGTGTATTTGTTACTTTATGCACAAAACAGCCCACGCAGACAACCTGTTAGTTACAGTTTCAGTCATTCAGTTTAAAGCATTCAGTGGAAGAGATCTGCTGGGTTACAAAAGGCCACAAATAGTTTAACCATCTCTCTAATGCTGCTAAAACAAAAACAGATGTGCCAGAGCAAGGAAAACAAATGAAACACAAAAGCATCCTACTACAAAGCTTTCCAGTCACTAATAAAAACAATAGTCTGTGGTATTTCCAAAAATATTTTTTGTGTAGTAGATCTCAAAGAGCTAGGAGGAAATACTGAGGAGGAGGAGGAGAAATGGGGGCAGGGGAGATGGCAAGGAAAGGGAGTTAGAGAAGAACTGCAGAATAATGTGTCTGAAGTCTAGAGACTTTTTTTCTCTTATTAGAATTTGTAAAGATGTTATTAGCACCTCCTGGATGCCCAAATTACAAGGAGGAGGGTGGGGGAGTAACCTGAACTGGGGCTTAAAACCACTGCTGCTTCTTGCTATCTTAGCAGCCCCTGAGCTAGTTTCCAGACTCTCAGTCTACAGCATTTGAAACTACTAAATTTTCAATTAGGGAAAGTTTTCATAAATGCAGATGTTTTTGGCGAGCACAGTTTTAAGACTTGCTGCCTTCTCCTTTCTATTCAGCTGTTTACCACAAAGCTGGAAACAAAGTGTCAGCCATGCAAGATTCCCGGCCCTTCGGTATTTGTCAAACCATATGTACATGGCCCAGAGTCGAGCAGTTTGTCTCCACTTATTTTAGGTACTGGAAATTTAGATTTCAAAGCAAGAGAGGAAATCCAGCAAAGGAAACACTAGAGCTGAAAGAGGGGTTTTGGGCAACCCCTCAAAAGTCAAACACCTCTCCCTTTCCCAGTCTTCCCTTGCTAAACCTATATCCTCAACTAGTTTGTGATGGGACAGATCCCCTTTTGAGACTCCCCATGGAACTCATTTCAAGCCAGCCAGTACTGATGCAAAAAAGCCACTTTAATGTTTTAGCAACATCCCAGAATAGTAATTTCATTTGCAGGGATGCATTAAAGCGCCAAATAAAAGATCAGAGCACTCACATATATCTGGAGGGAAAAAAAAGCACATTAGGAGACGATTGCTACACACACTGTATTTGTGGGTGGGTGGCTGGGAGGAACCTACTTCTTTACCAACTGTCAACACTTTCCTTTCTCATGTTGAGTTTTGTGGTCAAAGACCACATACACACATCACATACACAGCCATCTTATATGTCCTGATAAGTGCAATAAAAATTTTAAAGTTTGTAACTGTATTTCAATGCTTTTCTTCATTCCTTTATGGGACCCTCCAATGTCAGATAAGGAGGAAGATCTGAGCAAAATGTTTATTTTGGTTTCATTGGCCCAATTTCTCGTCCACACTGCAGATTAAATCAGTGTAAGAGTGTTGAATTCAGTTTAGAATCAGATCCTAGTCCAAATTCACTGTGCTATGTTTAACCAAAGACAGCACATTTTAAAAATATTTAATTTGATTCTTGAGGCTGTGATCCTGCATCCTTTATTATTTATTGAGTGAAAATCTGCAGAGTCAAACCCTTGAGCTAAAACAATATACCTGCATCTATTTGAGTGCAACAATTTACCTGTAGGGCACTAATTAGAGAATCAGGTCCTTAGACAATAAATATATTTGTTCAGAAATTCTTAGTCTGCAAAATTCCTGAGGATTTACAGTCTATGCAAACAGCTTATAGTGCAGCATGCAGGACGTCCAGATAGTGATATACCATAAAACATGTGAACCACAACACAGCATATGTTCAGAGAGAAAAGCCTGGATGGGGAGAACTGACCCTTAGTTAATTAAAATAGTCCACTAATGCTCCAGAGTCGTCAGCTACAGTTGAGCATGACCTTATTAAGTGCTCTACATCTTTTTATTAGCTGAATTAAGAAGGAACAGAAAACGAGAAAACTGAAGGATAAAGGATTCTTAAATTTCACAAGTTATCTTTATGCTGCTTGGAAGACACAGTGATGCACAGACAGTTTACTGGGATTTTGCTGAAATGCAGGATTAATCACCTGGATGGTAGAACAGAAAAAGATTTACTGCATCTGCAGTCAACCTACTCCTGGCAAATTTAGCGTTTACATTTGTTGCATTGCTTTAAAAATATTTGGTTTACTGCAAACTTCTCAGATGTTGTCAATTCTGTGAAAAATGCTGATTATATTTTTATTTGACACGCATTATTGTGTATTGCTAGTTTTTGCTCAACTTCTGCAGACTTGTAGAATACTTTATGTCTCAAAATTAATATAGTTTAGTTTAAGGAAAAAAAAAACAAGAGAAGGCAAGAGAGGGAGAAATTATAAAAGATAGTGGCTTGCTCATAATTTCTTTGAAGCAACAGGCTTTTTAAGAGAGCCACTTAGAGCACCAGACTCGGTAGACGCTTTGTCACACGCCAGGCTATGGCTTCAGCCCTGCTTTCTGTGCAGAGCTGCTCTGGAGTTTGACAGCAGGAAGGCACCCTAACTATGAGTCTGGTGGCCTGATCTCAAGCGGGTGTTACCTGGCACAGCTCCACACACTTCAGTAGAGCTTTGCTATTTATGCCAGCTGAGGACCTTATCCTGGCAGTGAGAGAGGTAGTAAAACTATCAGCTCTCTGAAATGAAAGTTTGTTTTTCTCTTCCAGAGATGTCTGCTTTTCACTCCTGCAAAATTTTGATGAGCAGAGATGCTGGCTGCATTCAACTCCTGCACAAACATTCTACCTTTGAACTCTTCCTGTAGGCTTCTACCCTTGGAAATTCTGACTCAGTATATTGAAAACAGGAATAAGCAACCTGTACCCTTTCATATCAAGATCTCAGGTGTATTTTAAGTGAAGGAGTGCTATTTTTCCTGAACCCATTCCAGGAAAGATAATGCCATGCCATACTTTTCTTTGGCACATGGCAGACACAA